GATGGACCAGACGCACAGTCGCTTGCAAAATCATTTTTTCACGGGAGCCTGCGCGCTCTTATGTGTTTGCTCCTGCGAACTGTACCGGTCGAGGAATGCCCTCGGCAGAAGGAGAAAAAAGAACGGCGTTGACCGTGTTTGGCACCTGGACGCAGGAGGAGCAAAAGGAGCAGGGTGCGCAGAGCACGTGGTCCAGGCTGCAGCCCGGGATTTGTTGGGTCTGCCGCAGCGGCTGGCATTGCCAGCTAGTGCCGTCACTCTTTGCAAGACCGTATACGTACGGAGCCGTGTATAGGCACATCGGCGGCCATGAAAGACCGACTGCGTATACGGGGTGTCTCGAAAAGTGTGACTGTCTCGTTCCGGGGGTGGATCTCTTACCGAAAGCAAGGCTAACTGCTCGATAGGAATTCTTAAACGAAACGGCCCAGTTCCTCCTGCCCTTATCATCTCGTTCATCCTGTGTCCCTTTGGTTATCATAGGAGAGCTAATCGTCACAGCCGATAACCACTCCGGCGAGTCTCGGGCTCTCCGTGATAAAGTCCCTGGGCTCTTGCGAAACGACCGCGATCGCTGCAAGTTACTACAGTCGCTGCAGCTGCTGCTGCCACTCGGCCACGTAGTTCACGTTCGGCAACTTCGGAGAAACGGCCTAGAGGCCGCGGGAAAATTAATTTTTTCTCTCCACCAACACGTCACCGACACTGAGACTCTTGCCGCGTGACAGCACCAATACGAAGTCCAGTTGGTTTCTCGATTCTCAAAGCCAGGTGCCAGAGAGCGGAACAAAGACAAGGCGCGAGTCCGTGGCTGTACAAGGCAGCTACTCTGCTACTCTGCTACTCTGCTACATTGCTAGCTCTAGTTTCGCAAGGCAATCGCCTAGCGTAATAATTTCATTTCGATACTCTGTCTCTTCTTTGCTTTGCTTGACTCGCGCTCCCGGTCGTTTGGGTCGAGAGAGGGCAGCAGGTATCGCTTGATGTTGGGCTCCACGTTCGGTCGCCAAATGCCCTGGAGGAACATGGCCGCGGGGGGGCTGGTTCGAAAGGGGTTCATTCGAGCCCGGCTTACCTCGAAAATCTACCTGATCCACTTGGAACACAATTTCAGGTCGATTGCATCCTCATCGACCTGACATCGTCAGGCCTGAAGAGACGAAGCACGCTGGGGGTCGGCCGCAGGATTTACGAATTTATAGCTCCCTGGTTATCGAACGTTGAACCAAAGCGCGAATGTTTTTTCGAAATTCGGAGGACGGACGAATATTAAAAAACGCAGCCAAGAAGTTCTGAAGCTGGGAAGGGGGGCGCCACTCAAGGCCAAAGGGCGAGCCTGGCCTGGTCGGGACCTTCCCAGCCCCAGCGTGTCTGAGGATAAAGGAAGAAGAAAGAGATATGAGATATGTAAATAAATGAAGCAAATGTAAAGGTGGTCGAACGGGGAGGCTCAGCAGCCCCTGATTTACATATGAAAGAGACTCCCACTGGCCCGTCTCGATGCATATCAGCTCCCGAAGGTTTGGCGAAGCTGCAGCCTGGGATCTTCAAAGCAATTCCGAAGTAGGTGGAAATATTTGAGGGCTTCCTCGGCTTCCTAGGCTTCCTATTGGCCAGGCAGTTGCGTTCCTCTGCAGGGACTACAGATTGCAGATTAGTTTTCGCAAGTGACTTATTTTACACCCGTGGTATCTCGTCCAATCAACGTGTTTGCAATTATCGGACGAAAGGTAGAAACTAGAAAATCCCAACGTCCCTGTAGGAGGCTGCGTAAGTGCGTGCGTCAGTAATTGGACCGAAGCAATTCCTCTATTTTTGCAACAGGCAGTCGACGCTGCTCTAGTTTTTTTTTTTCACCTGACACTTTCGCGCTCTCGAGCGTCATTTTTGGCAACAAAAGGGCAAGTCTAGTTTCCCAATTCCCATCAGTTTTTTTTTTCACTCGCCCTGTTGGCTGCGCAACTAAAGTTTTGAGGAAAGTCGAGAAAGAACAAACAGAGAGTGAATTTGGGATTCGAGCGGAAGTGCAGGGCCGATGCGTGGGGCGATCGAAAGGACTCTGGTGTTTGGCCGAACTGTCGTTCATGGAAACGCAGCCAATGCTGGAGCGCGCGACGCGCGCACCACATGCCTATCGGTTGCGCGCTGCGATAACGTCGCGTTAAAGGAGGGTTAATGGATCCGTGTCCGTGGCCTGATAACGATGCAATTTACGCAACGAGGCAACGAGTATCGAGCATAGATGCTCTCAGGTCTTTCCTTATTCCACGCGTATCGTGTGGACGACCCTTAATGCCATCAATGTCCGTCATACTTCGACGTGGGATCAGCAGTGCTTTCATTTCCTTCTCTTCTCTCTATATCTCTATGTATATATCATCATCTTCATTTTTCTTCTTGTTCTTCGTTCATTGCGCTTGGGAGCTTCATGGTGTTTCTTGACGAGGAGGAAATTTAAGAGAGAAAGTTCCAAGTGGCGAAGTGGGGAAGGGGACTGAGGGG